TAGTGATGTATTCTGGTTTGAGGCTCACCTCAAAGAAGTCTCCATTGTTGTGGATGTCTCTGCCAAGGAATTGGATTGTCTGGCCAATTCCCAATGCGCCGGTTGGTCGTAGTAGTCATGCTTTTGTACTTCCTTGAAAGTCTTGTCGACTTCTTGTTGTTGTCCAAGGAATAGTAGGTCATCCACATAGACCATCACAAACATTGTCTGTTCATTGTTCCTGTACACGTTGGGTTCACTTGTGAGTCGAGACAGTCCCAATTGTTGCAGGACTTGTGCAAAGTGATCTTGCCAAGATTTTGGACTTGATCGTAGTCCATAGATTGCTTTGTTGAGCCTCCACACTGTGGTTGTGTTGTGACCACTTGGGTATAGTTCTGGTGGTGGCCACATGTAAAGATTGTCTGTCGCTGCTGGTGCATGTAGGAATGCTGTTGACACGTCTCCTGCTTGTATCGTCCAGTGGTTGCGCTGCGCCATTGTCAGTAGGATGCGCAAGATCCCAAAGATTGGTGTGCTCGCATAGATGTTGTCAAGGTCTTGGATTGTTTCCAGGAAACCTTTTGCTACTATGCGACATCTCACTTCCTCTTGTTTGGGTTTGTTGACCCACTTGGATTCTATGATCTTGTTCTTGTGTTCTTCTGGGACATCATTGTAGTTCATCTCTGTGAACACTCCTTGTGTCTTCATCGATTGTGCTTCTTTCTTCATTCCTTGTTGTACTTTCAATGGATCAAGACCTTCATTGTCGTAGACGAAGGGTTCTTGTAGCATCCTTTCCACTTCTGCTTCTTGTTCATCTTCACAGGATGCTGTGGTGATCTTGTCACCTTTCTTTGTGGTAATCGTCACTGCTTGTATTCTCATCTTTGCTTTTGGTTGTTCTTCGTCTTGTCCTCTATTTGCTGCTGTTGAGGACTGCGCTGTCCTCGATTGTTTGGATTGTGCTTCACCTGTAGGCTCCTCGTGTTGTCGCTTGCTTGCTGGTGGTAATGGCAGTGGTGGTCTTGCCATTGTTGTTGGTGAAGTTGCCAATGGTGATGTTGCCATTGTCGTATCCATTGGCTGATGTTGCATTGCTTGTGTTGGTAGTGCAAGTGGTGTCTCTTGTACTGTCTGTGTGCTTGTATCTTCCACTGTAATGTCAGCTTGTGTGCCGATCGCTTGTCTGCTTGTGGTGTTGTCAGCTGGTAGAAGCAATTGTGGCGGAATTGCCATTGGTGTTGTTGGCAAGTTCCATGGATACACGTTAATGGTATCCAATAGTTGCTTGTCGTACTTGTCTGGCATGATCTGTCTTCGAATTGTTCTTGCCTTGATGACCTTGCCAGGGATGCCGACTATTGACCCTCCAGTCATTGTATCCCTGCCAAGCCAGATTCCTTTGAAGAATCTTGGCTCCATCTTGGGTTGTGCTTTTGTTGTTGGTATCATGTATTGTACTGTTTCTGCCATCTCGCATAGTGGTGCTTTGTGGTCCTTCTGCCATCGTCTTTGGTAACTTGTTTGTCCATCATTGTGCATGGCATACCTGTTCAGTAGCCAGGCTGCACGCCGTACAATCCACGGCATGACCGGATGTTGCACGCTCAGTGTGAGGTTGTAGCTTGTGGTCACTTGTTGTACCAGTGCTCGGACTTGTCCCATCAAGGTGCGATGGAATCGTTCAATGCTTCCTTGTGATTGTGACGAGTATGCCGGTGATTGTCGGATGTTGACGTTGTTTCCGAGCTTTTGTGCAACTGTCTTCAACAGGTTCTGTATGTATTCTTCTTGGTCTGATTGTAGCGTTGTTGTGGATAGGGTTGCTTGTGCTCGTCCACATTCAAACATGAATGTTTGTAGACATCGTGTCAGGTATTGTTGTTGTTGGTTCTTGTCTTGTACAAGAACTGCCATTGCCATACCTGATTCGACATCTATTGCCGTAAGTACTGGTAGTACTTGTTTGTCTCCAAATGCCTTCATGTAGGTGAAGTCCACTTGTATCACTGGTTGTTTGCTTGCTTGTTTTGGGTGATTGTCTGTTCTTCCTTTGCTCTTGACACATATTGGGCACCATGAGCGATATGGTAAGTGTGTCAACTCATGTTCTAGCCTCTCTTGTCTTGTTGGTTGTTGTGGCGCCTTCATTCCTTTGGCGCGTTGTGCTTGTTGAGATTCATCTTCATTGTCCGCGTCGTACTCGTACTTGTACGTCGCTTCTTCCTCAAAATTTGTTGATCCTGTCCATTGTCTGTCAAGCTGTCTTGCTCCTGATTCCTGCCAATTGTCATGGATTGTGTATCCTCTTCCTTGTTCCGTCTGTTCACGAATGTTGTCCGTGTCGGTTTGAGTCGTCCAATGTCTGGACCATCGTCTGTCTGTTGTGGTACGTACATTGTTGTCCGTGCTTGTACGTGAACTCGTTTCCAATAGTGTCCTTCTCTGATCCAGTAGTCTGTTGTTGGTGTCATTGTTGATGGATCAGGTACTGCCGTGGTTGTTGGTGCTGGCTTCTTCGTTGTGTGTCTGTATAGTGGGTCTCTGCTGACCTGCCTTGCTGTCCCGTCTTGTTCCGGGAGTTGTATTGCTGTTGATTGTTGTCGCATTTGTGGTGCCTGTTGTGCTTTCTCTGTTGTCTCTGTTGTCTTCGATGTTGTTGTCAATGGTTGCGCTGGTGGCTTGTTCACTCTAAACCATGTCTCTCCTGTCCACGTGTCTCCTTGTATCACTCGTCGTTGTTCGTGTTTGCTCGAGTCATGGTATTGTTCAACAATGTCTTCGTTGTTCCCGTCTGTTCGTCGAATGATTGTTCGTCTGTAGTTGCTCAATGTCTCCAGTGGCACTGGGCAATTGTTGCCAGGAACAAAGAGAGCTTTCCTCTTGTTCCGGTGATACCGTACAAGGTATCCTTCATTGTTGTAGTTCCAACAGTCGCTATTGCCTCCAAGAACTTGTTGTGGTCCATGTCTTGTCAGTGTTGTTGGGGCAATCATTGCAATCATGCCCTTTTGTGTATGTCTCAGCTGTAGTTGTTGATGTTGTCCCAGGTTCATGACTGTTGCTGGCAAGTAGTAGAGGTTGCGCTGCTGCACCAAGGGAACATTGAATCCCTTGTCATGGCGCATTGTTGGAGCGTCGTTGAACCTGATGTCAAAGCCTTGTTCTGCCAGTCTTGTCACTGACAGGATTGGGTCATGGATGTCACACACATAGAATGGTATGACAATTGGTTGTCCTCTTGATTGCATGTAGACCCATCTCACGCCGTAGCATTGTATTGTCTTGTTCGTCACTGTCCTGAGGTTTGGGCTTTGTGCTTGGTCGATCTTGTACACTGGATAGTTGTCTGCAAACCATAGTGGGCAGACATGTGTGGCCGCTCCACTGTCGATCATGATGTGCATAGTGTCTGTTGTGCCGCTGCTTGTGGTATCTGTCTTGTAGTCATTGCCATTGCTGATCATGGCGATGACATGGATTGGTGTCGTTGCCGGTGGATGGAATTGGTGGTAGTGCCAATGGTTGTTGTCCTTGGTATTGCCGTGTGTAGTCCTGAAGGTGCCATCCATTGTCATAGTAGTCATCGTACCATTGTGCTGTCGCATCTTCAATGTCATTGCTTTCTCCTTGTCCAATGTTGTGTATTGCCACTCGGCAATCTTTGGCATAGTGTCCTGTTCTTCCACATCTGTAGCATGTATCTGTTGCTTGTTTTCCTTTGTTCTTTCCTTTGCCTTTGTTGTATCCTTTGCTGAATCCTTTGTTTCCTTTGTTGCCTCTTCCGAATGGATTGCCAAAGCCAATCGGACTGTTGTTGTAGTTGTTGAATCCTTTTCCTCCATACTTTCCTTTTCCTTTGTGGTTCATGTTGTAACTGTTGTATCCGTAGCCGTTGTATCCTCCGTAGCCTTTGCCTTTGTTCTTTCCTTTTCCTTTTCCTTTGTAACCGTTGTACTTGCCTTTTCCTTTGTGGATTGCATCAATGTCCATGGGTGCTTGTCCTCCACCGAAGCTTGTTGCTACACTGGATGATTGTGATCGTAATTGTTGTAGTTTGCTGAATGCTGTTGTTGATCTGTAGTACTCGATGATTGTTTGTTTGACTCGTGCATAGTTTGGGCTTTGTCCTGAAAGCAGTTGTAGGTGTTGTTGTAGTGGTCCACTTGTCTCATTGAGCAGTACGGCAATCTTCACGGAGTCTGGGAGTGTTTGCGCTCAATCTTTGTAGCTCAAATTCCCATGTGGAAAATGATTCTTCGAAGTTGTTCTTGTCAAACGTTGGTTTCAACAATCTTGTCAAGTGTCAAATGGATCTTGTCCCCAATGGGATGGAGAAGCGGATGCACAGTTGTCTGTACATCTCGAAGCCAATTGTGTGTTGGTATTGTCTGCATACTGTGGCTGCTGCTCCAGTTGTTGTGTTGATGAGGATGTACCTCAAATCAGTGCTGAGGCGAACATGTCGTTCACCGTCTTCGATTGTTGATGCCGCTGCTCGTAATTGTAGCTCTGTGAGTTCTGCTGTGCCTCGTTCTGCTGCTTGTAGTAGTTCTGTGTAATCATTGTCTTGCAATCCCATGTATGCTGTGAACTTGTACTTCCATTCCTCGAACGTGCCATAGTCTCCATTGAAAAAAGGTGGTTTGAGTTTGTATCTGTTCATGTTTGCCATGTTGGTGATTGTCTCGTCTTCTGGAACTGGAGGTAGGCCATCTCCAGCTTGAGCTGCTGCTGGTTGTGCTGCCATTGTTGCAGCTGTGCAAGCTACCTGTTGTAGGGTCAAGGCTTGCTCTCCGTTGTCTGTGTTTGTGTGCTTGTTCCTGTTGTTGTATTGGAGCTCACCTGGATTGTTGTTACCAGGATCCTTGCTCCGCTACCATGTAAAATTCAGCAGCTGTTTGTTTGTCGTTTGTTTGTGCACGTCTCTGTATTGTTTTCCTCTTCAGCTAGGCTGGGCTCAAGGCCTTTGATCCAAGGTGCATTGTACAGCACCGTGCAGTTGTACATCAACACTACGATGGAGTAAGTAAGCTATTGTGAAAAAGCTTGTCTCTTAACAGCTCCCTCGCTCCCTCGCTCCCTCCCTCCCTCCCTCCCTCGCTCGCTCTCTCTCTCTCTCTCTTTTCAATGCGCCAATGCCAAGCCACATATTCTTTGCCTCTCGGTGGGCACCAGCCACGGCCAAGAAATCGTTCTTTCTTCCCTTCAGGCCATGCTTTGTAGCGTCCGAAGTCCCTATCATGGGTGTAGGATACCTTGCTCGCATGATCGAAGGAGCCGGTTGCCAGAGAGGCAAGTAGCATGCTACCGGGTTTGAATACAAGGCCCCCGTGCCAACTACCGCTAGTCTCCTTCGCAAGTGCCCTGCAAGACACAACAATCAACTATGTGGATTATCTGGATCCACAAACCTCTCTTGTTCCCGGAATCAGACCTTGGAGTGTCTTCTTCTCCCGAGTCTTCATCCCTTGATCTTTCTAATCAATCCAGGCGTCGCAGCGCTCATCGGGCTTGGCCGCTTCGCGCTGGTGAACCTTGATACTTTCCTGCCAACTCAACTGGGAAAACACCTTCGCTCTCCGAAGCAAAAAGAGTGCAAGCACGATGCGAGCGTGCAAACAAAGCTTGGTCTGCGGGTCTTGCGCTGGTGGAGGAGGAAGAAGAAGAAGCAGGAGAGGGAGACAGGAAAAAACGAGATACATACAGTAAGGCTCAGGCTTTGTTTCGTGTGCTATCAGCCACCTACATTCCCCACAAGCAGCAACGTTGAAAATTATATATATAATATATATGCAAAAACACAGACCGTGATGCGTGCTTAGGCTTGTGCCACTCCTTGGAATGACGGTAGTTGTAGGAGTATGACCAAACCACCAGGTTCCTTGGCTGGGGCAAGCCAGGAACAATGTGGCCACGCCCTAAGCTTCAAGACCTCTCCAAACCCAGGTAGGCCTTTCAAGGCGGCAAAAGATTGCCATGACTCCGTGACCTGGTGTAAACTCCAAAGAAACATCAATGTCTCAAGCTCAAAAGGTTTGAGCACTCTCCATCTGTCCATCGATATTTCAACTCAACATCTTCAACCTGTGTGGAGGTTTGTAGGGCTCGGCTCTGCTGAGTCTCAAAGGCAGAAAAACCCGTCGCGTCAATGTCCTCCTGTCGCGTCTGTGAGGTCAAGTTGCATTCGCTCACCACCAGTGATATCCTCTGCTCCGTGTCTGTGCCGCCCCTTGTGGATGATCGCATAGCCCAGCCTGGGTTGAAATCAATCCAAATTTATTAGATCAGGTGTTTGGCCTAAACTGAATGTTCCCTCCAATTCATGCAACAGTATATATATAAATCCATTTAGGAGGCTAAACTTCTGCGGCCGGCCACAGTCGGCCGTCTGTTCCAGAGCTAAGCGTCTGATGCTGGTAAGCGGTGCGGAAATGCCTGTGGTCAGGCTCACCATTAATGCCGCAAAACACCTGAGTTCAAGTTTGTGTCAGAAATCCCTTCGTTATCTCATGGACTTGGACGTTAGGAGCATGTGAACGTATGATGTGTAGGCATGCAACTGACATGTTGGAAAAGGCAAAGTACTAAAAAAAACACTTCATACATAGGCACATACAGGTCTTCATAAGGTTTTCACACAACTGTGTAGCATCCGTTGACGTTTCTCACAACAAACCCATGCGGCCGTGCAGCTGTTTCTAGGTCTTGGTATTTCTAAAATAAAATGTATATATATATATATGTATCGTATTATGTTTCACCCACTGCCTCAAGTATAGCTTCACCTCTTGGTTTCGAACGTTGGGTCCCTCCAACACGCCCGAAAGGAGGCGTCAAGATTCAAGGCGCCAGCGGCGCACCAGTGTAGTTGCCGAAGATGTTCACGTTGAACCTGAACTCTTTGGAGAACGATGTCGTCGGGCAGATGCTGAGCGTTCGAACGTGCAAAATCTGAGTGAAATCCTGTGATTCGGACGATTGAACATGCCAATCGAAAGTTTCGAAGCGTATCTAGACAACGCTCAATATGTATTGGAGCAAGTGAAGCGGTGCTGCAAAGGGTTGGAAACTTATGGAAAATGCATGTAAATTGATGGATCAACGCTCTCCTTTAACGTCAGGGTGAAGCTTGAAGCCGCATTGAGAATGCATGCAGACAAGCCCACCCCCTTACCAGGGCATCGAGCCAAAACATCCAAAAGCAATCCTCGCGCGTCAATACCACGAAACGTCACATCCGAATCGTCTGTGTGCACATCCAGGTGTGTATCTTCTCCACCTGAGTGATTCAAAAAGCTAAGCATCAATCGAAACGAAAAGGGAGAGGGTCAATTGGTTCCGCAGATTCTCTGCATGTCTCCACTGCAATCCTTGGACTCATCTTACACTTGAGCTCTTGTTCATGTGCCAATGCAGCTCCTGGCGTTGCCAAATCTATGGCACTCTGAGCACCAGGCCTTTGTACCTGCCAGGGACGCAGACAAGAAAGAATCGGATCAAAATCAACTAGAAACCAAAAGATCTCTCGGCATGTCATACTGAGTCAGCATCGCAATCTCAGGTTTTAGCAGCCACAAGAAGACACAAGTCATCTCTGCACACATACACACATTCACACACACGGCACCCAAGCGTTCAACCAAGAGAGTCTGCATGGAGTGTAGGTGGATTGCCCGGTGAAACTTAGTTTCTGATTCAAGGCCAAAACATTTGGAATAATGCTAGTCCTCAGGCCTGATGGTGAAGGAATGGTGGGACTCCAGCTCACTTCCTGAAAGCTTCGGCACTTCTGGAGAAACAAAAGCAACTGAATATCATTACTCAAGCCATTCCTGAAGCCGAATGCCCAATCCGAAGTCCTGTCAACTTTGGCGATGACCTCCTGAGGTGATCTACTTAGATTCTGGCCTATGGGCATTCAAATGCTCCAGTCTGGCCAATTTGACGTCCAGTGTCCACTGTCCTGCTCCCGCCTTCCAAAGGAAAAAGCACCGAAGCCAGCGGTTGAATCAACGCATCTTGGAGGTCAAAGATCATCGGCTCCAAACCTCGGCAACCATTCCACACCCGGCAAACTGCGGGAAGAAGGTAGACGGCAGACCGTTCCATGGCCGTTCCGCTTCGCCCGTTCCGTGGCTTTCTTGTGCTTCGGTCTCGAAACCGCTTGTTTGGAGACCACAGAACATCACAACATCAAGCTGAAAAACACAAGCTTTGGTGCCGACCTGCAAGCCCCAAGGGACATGGAAAGTTGAATAAATGTGCAGCTCTGGATGGATATAGCCCCATCGTCCTTCGGCAGCCCACAATCATCCAAGACACCGATCTCGTTGAGGATGATGCCTGAAGAGGTCTGGAAAGACCCAACTGAGGAAAGTTGGAGAATCAATGGGTATGCTCGCATTGCTGAGTGATACGGTGTGTCTTTGAAAACAAGAAAGCTTTCCCCTGAAAGCAGCAGAATCATGTAATGAAGTGAATGCTAGAGTACTACAGCTTGCTTCCGGCAGGTCCAAAGGCTTTCAGCAGTTCCACCATGGACAATCCGTTAGATCCAAACATCTGGCAAGCATATGCCCGCTCATCATTCACATGTCAAATACGTCTGGTCAGATCCTCCCAAACTGAAAGCATCAAAGGGTTTTGATGGTCCCTACAAACTTGCGCCTGAACAACCACTCTCTATTGCCCAACAACCCTTTGTAGCAACTGGGTCTGCCTGAGTCCGCCAACCCCAAGAAAACTGAAACAAAGAAACCGTAGTTGTTCATGGAGTTCGGCCGCCGTGCCGGCAGCTTGGAGCCATAAAAGTTCCGGATCCTCGGTCACCCATCGCAGCCAAGCCATTCTATCGGACGAGGATCAGAAGGATTTTGGAACAATAGACTGTGTGACACGACGATCATGAGAGAAAAGGATTGCAAAGGACTTTGGATTGTCCAATGTGAGGTGAGCTGCTGTCGATGGAGATCAGCTCTGTTTTCCTGTGGGCCCTTCACCTGCATTTTCTTGAAGATCCTATGCCCTGTGCACAGATCAGCGCTACCGCTCAGGAGCTGAGCACCCCAAGAAAACAAATTGATGTTGGACGACTGTTGCAAGCAACGTCGGCCTCACCGCTTATCTTTCGGTGCCAAGATGCTCCTCCATCAGCAAAGTGCAGAACTCCAGTGTGAACACTGGAAAGCTAAAAACCTGAGCAAACACAAAACCTCTTCCCCTATTGCGTTCATCACCAAGCAACATCCTTCCCAGTTCTTAGGCTGTAGACAGGAGGATAGAAACAAATCAAGCGGGCTTAACTATACCCATGACCTCTTGACTTTCCCGCCAGAATAGCCTTCCCACGCCTCACAATTAAACGATAGGACAGGCGGCTAGGTCAGGGATAATCTCTTTGATCAATCCAGAGGCAAGCAGTTGTTTTTTGGCTTCGGCCCTGCTATATCTTGTGCCGTTGAAAACCTTGAAGATCAGCTTGAAGATCCTGGCAAGTTGTGCGCAACAGCTTCTGAATTCAATTGCTGTCGCTTTCTGGAATCCTGTCAGGCCGTTCGTCCGTCTCGTTTTCAATTCAATCACAGATGTGTTCGAACCTGCTTTGGGTGCCAAAAGTCGGTGAACGTCGTAGCGACACCAAGACCTGGAAAACGAATCATATGAGGTCCAGTCTGCCGATCCTGGGATCAATCGCATCCTCCAGCTTTAGGCCATTTGCCCAGAAGAGTTCTTCGTGTTTTCGGCCATACGCGGCGTACTTCACCACTGTACTTGCATCCTCCTGAAGGAGCATGCGGCGCATGCCATGCGCAAACCCTTCACCGTGGCTTCCTCAATCTGTGAGCCTTTGCTGAGGTCATGTTGCTCGACTGATAGAAAGCCAGGAATCAGATCAATTGAACAAACACATCCAAACCAATTTGTCAAATCCTGGATGTCAACCTCTGAGCCGTTACATTCTACATACATAATACCCTGCCCTGCATAAGCGTGCCAACCGGTTAAGCAATAGAAGCAATAGTAGTGGTTCCAAGTCTCAGCCCGACCCAGACCCACCTCGAAGGTGGAGGCTGTCCGCTGCCACGCCGTTTGATCCGACGGATGCAGTGCGCCGCCCAATGATCGATGCAGTTGAGAGAGCAACCCATGCAAGTCCTGAGTAGCTGGTTGATGTCTGAGAACTGAAGTGCTGGCGACAAAAGTAGCTCTTTACCCTAAGTTGGAGGTCAAGGCTGTTGGGGGGGAAGCCATCGCTATTAGGTTGGAGGCCATCGTTCATTAGGTTGGTGGCCATTGCTATTATAAAATATACCTTCCTTTTTTTTGTTGGCGGCAGCAAGAAAAGCATGTCACGGGACCCTGCCAGGCCATGTACACTCCATGCCTCACATCAACGCAATGTTCAGCACCCAGCACAAGAACGGCTTCAATGGGCTTTGGGTTGTCCCTGAAAACTAAACATGATTCTTAGGGTAAACACCAATGGCCGTGCCTCCCACATCAGCTGTGCCAGGTATCATATCGACCTTTTTGAACCTCTTGTGGGCACCTGGTCTCGCAGCTACCTGGGCTGCTTTCGCAACTGTAGCCAGGCTCGGCTCCTTGGAGCATGTGCAACCGCAAGTTGGCCAAAGCTCCGGGTGCAGCCGACATACAACAGCTAACTTAAGTTAAGTTTCCCCAAACATCTACTGTAGGAATCAAATGAATAGTGCGAGCGCTTCTTCAAGGAAGGTCCCCCCGCTCCTTGAAGAAGCATGATCTATCTTGCGTCCATACTAGTAGCTCAAGTAAGGTGCTGGCTACCTAGCTTCACCTCTACTAGCGGCCTACCCCCGCGAGCTAAAGAAACATTCTGGTGAAGACTGACGTTTACTCTTTCGGTTTGGAGAATGGAACTGTAGCTCAAATCGACCTCACACTGTCACCAGGTTGCCCGCGACGTGCCAGTTGAAATGGAAAGGCAAGATCTGTGGAGTCTTCCCAGACTACGTACCACACCAGAACGATTTCAAGCAGCCCCGACCATCCTCCGTGTTCAAGCCTCCGTTCATCAAGCCGTCACCATTGCAGTCGCAGAAACCAGAGTTCCCCAGTGGCACATTCTCACCGCACAGTCGATCCTTTTCTGGTTCCCGATCTCCCGTGGCATTGCAGCCGCCTGTCTGGCGCCACATGCAGGTGATGGGGCCTGGCAGCGCAGGTGGCCCCGGGCAGCAAGAATGAAGTGGTATCAATGGTTCGAAAAAACTTCAAACTGCACGGCTTTCTAGACCTGGAGTGTGCTGGCAAAGGGGATGATATGAGGTCTTGTCCAACATGTGGATTCCAAAAGACCGGTCGCATCCTTTATGTAAAAAAGTAGATTGAGAAATGACATTCCTTTCATGTAAATGGTGTTCAAAGCCTGTAAAGTGAATCTTGTGTGGATGAGTTCTATCGCCAAGCAACCAACGGCTTCCTGCAGGCGTGCCAGCAGCTTGCTGCTCGCCTCATGAACATGATCGCTCTTGTCTTCATCAGGTGGCTTGACGTAGAGGCTCCTTTGCTTCAGCTGAGAATCTCCTACCCAGCCTACCTCAAAGTTCAACAGCATCGCACTCGGATACTGTTTGCTGTTTGCAGGTCATTTTTCGACACCGAACCATTAAAATGAGCCACCGCCCAAGGGCATGTGAGACCAAACCCATAGACGTACAAAGGGTGGATCCTCTTTGCTGGACACTGGCTAACTATGCAAGCGTTACCCAGCCAGACGCCGGGCTTGAGTGACAACCAAGTGCATTGAATGCAACAAAACCTTTCTCCAAACGTCTCTTGGCTTGGTGAGGAAAGACTCCAGAACCAGACATCTTGGTCATTGAGATAGCGCCATGAGTGTCCAATGCATCTGTAGAGTAATTAACAGGGTCAAAAGCGTCCCAGGTCTGAAACAGCTAAAGGTGCAATTACAGCTACTAATGTCAGCTCACCAGTAACTCGCAGTGACAGCAGGACTGGCTTCGGGTTCAAGCCATTGACCTGAGCAGCATCAACGAGCTGGTGTTTCCGAGAATAATCCCTGTGGTCTGCGAAACACTCTCCACATGAAGAGCATCAGAAGCATGTGAGTGTTGCGACACTGGCAACGTTGCCAAGCTCAAGCTCAAGCTCAATCTCTGTGACATAGGGGCCCCACATGTAGCAACATTCTGCCTGCCGGCATTTGCATCGAAATTCAGCTCCACACCAACCAGCTTTGCTTTCATCTCACCAACGACATCCCTGTGAGGCGATGCAATGATGTCATACTGTGTGTATACCTATTGATTCTTTTTGAAACAAGAAGCAGCTTTGAACATCAAAATTTCACAGCCACGGCCCGAGACGGAGAAGTACCTTCGCAAAAATCTCCTCCTCCCCTCAAACATGGATCGAAACCCAGCCACTCTGGGAAGAGTCATTTACCTCCTTGCCATAGCATCATCCAAGACCCCCATGCGGAATGCACAGGATGAGCGCATCCCCTCAAACAAAGAGACGCCAGAGACCTTCACCGTCACTTCTGCTCCAACAGTCTCCAAACTGACCGCCAGAAGCGTATGGTCAGCCAAGCTAGCAAACTTCAATTGGTCCTCCTGTAAGGGATTGAAATCCCTATCCCTGCCAGGTAGTGCCAGGAGATTCTCAGCTCAGACCGTCCTCACACGCACTGGACTCGTCTTCAGTACCCCAGTTATTCCTCCTTCTTTTCTATCGTCAGTTGCAAAGGTCTCGTCAGTTAGTCAGTTGCTGATGGAGTTCGACAAGCTAACCAGCTCGTGTGATGACCGGAACTGTTTGAAGATCGTTCAAGAGCCGAGGAGAGACGATTGACAGCCTCGATCAAAGCTGCAATGTCTTCTCGAAAAACAGGACTGCTCATTCACTGTAGGCTGCAAGCCGAGCTCTTTTGCAGGCACTAGTCACTAGGAGAGGCCCTGAAGCTTTGGAAAGCTGAAAAGGCAAAGATCCAAGCAAGACACAGGCTAACAGGAAGCCCAAAGCCAGGCCTGAAGAGGGCAGGAAAGACGAGAAGACACGTCAGAGAGGGCCGAAAAAGACTCGACAACTCTTGACAAACCTCTCCAGCATGTGATGAGCATGAAAAGGACATAATCAATCCATATTTATAATGTATATTCATATGAACATGTATGTATATATATATATATTGGTCATCTAATCTCAGTCAACCAGTGAAATGTCGTAGTTGCAAAGGTTATTGAGCCCAATTATAGTTGGTGGTGTATCATTATTGGATTTATCTTGTTGGATCTAGTCCATTACCATTGAGCTTAGAATTGGATTCTTGTTAATATGAATATCTGTGACTCACGGTGGTTGTTTTAAGTAGGAGATATCTCCTGCTTATTAATCCTTCGCCGCCTACTCATCGCACCTCAGTTCTTCATCTCCCAATCTTCTCTATTTGCGATGGCCTCCACCTAATAGCGATGGCCTCCAACTCCAACCTAGTAGCTTCTTGTTACTAGTAGGATGGCCTCCAACCTACTTGCGATGGCCTCCACCTAATAGCGATGAGAGATCATTCCCCTCATCAAACATGACCCGAAGCTCCTGAGCTGCCCGGTGAAGCGGATGCTTGGCAAGCTTTGCGGCCAGCTGGTGGGGAAGACGAGGACTACACGATGATGCTTGCCTTGGGCACTCCAGCGAATTCAGGTTGAAATGGTCTCGAATGGTTCGAGAGCAGGAAAGGGAATCACACAGCTGAGAGGCCTCCTCCCCTCGCTTTCTTCTGTTCCACTCACAGCCAGCACAGCCTTGGTGCCAAGCAGCGGAAGGCTGGAGGTGCTTCCTTTGGTGCTTCGAGGTCAACCTTCAGCCGCCAAGGGCCACCTGAACAGGCAAATAAAGACGGGAAGGGTTGCATTCGATGAAAAGAAACCAAAAAATGGAAACTAGATTTCCTGAGTGGCATCTTGCTCACGACAGGCCAAACCACGAACATGCAATCCCATCTCACAGGATGGCCTGGCGATGCAACTTCGCATGCCAAGCTCTGCCACCTGGGAAATGAGTTGAGTCAGATTGGATCGGTCTTTGTTGGCAGCATGTTTAAAGCCACGAAACAGTGTCAATGGACGACCAAACAAAAAATGGAACGATGATCGCAGTGTTTACATGCCCAGCAAGCCACAACGAGCTTGTGTGGTTGTGGTCTCTCTGAAGTAGGCGACGTTTCTTACCTCGATGCAGGAATGATGTGCAACTCCACGCGCCAGTCGAAAAGAATCTGCGTCTTGCAAAGGAGAAGCTATATATACTATATATAACTGTTATATAGTGCATGACGCTGCATTTTTCTTGTGACTCAGCCTAGTAGCGCTTTGCGCATGGATGCATGGAACATGAACTTCTGGGCCCCCCCCTTTTTCTGCGACACTTCCAACACCTTCAGCAGTGCTTGGGGGAGAAGAGTCGGGGAAAATGACAAACATTCAACTTCCAGCATCTTCAACATTGGCAAACACCGAACACCGTTTCGGCAAGTCACTGATGGTTTGTCGGGCCTCATAAAGGTCCCCTAACTTCGCCACAAAGGAAGGCAAGTTGGATCGAAGGGCATTCACCTCTCTGCACAACTGGATCCAGCCCTTTGTGGTTCCATCTGGCTGCTCTACCAGCACAGCTGGCTCTATGGTCTTTTCGCCAGACACCAAGAATGAAAAGAGCAGGAACAGCAGCTTCCATCTTGGAAATGCTCCGACCATGGCAAGAGATGCATGTCCCGGGCTCCTTCGTATTCTATATGACTTGACAATGAACCCCCTAAAGCTTCCCAATTGTAGGAACCAATCTGCTGTGGAGATGTTTGCACTATGCGCCATTGGTCCACCAACTTGAGCTCCAACCTCCTGGAGGGTCCCATGCGGCCCTACGTTTTTCTGGACCCTGTTCGATGGGGCGCTGCCAGCTGCGACTTGTCGAGTCAGGTCGCCTCCAAGGATCCCACGTACCCACCACACACGCTACAGTCAGGGTGCTGGCATCGCAAATAGTAGCAGTAGAACGCTACCAGTAACAAAGGACATTGCTACTAGGAGTAGTAGAATATAGTAGAATGCTACTAGTAGTACCATGTGGTACCTACACACCTTTCAAAGGCTTTCAGTCATGGCCACCATTCGCCTCCTTTGTAGCCAAGAAGAAGCTGCGTTCGTTCGGTCATCGTCGAACCGACGCCCAGGGGATTCCCATCAGGAATTGTCCGTAGAAAAATGAGTCATTTGAGTCAATTGAAATGATTGTTCCTACTCATTTGATTTTTTTGACTTGTTCTATTTATTCAAATCTCAAGACTTGGTGTGCAATTGTGCTGGTGGGCCAGCTCTTTTCAATGCCTTCCACACCAAATGCAAAACGACATGACGTCAGTTCCACGCGTCGAAAAACAGCCCGTCTCCAACTGGGCTCCAAACCTTCGGGTTTTTGCCATTCAGCTGCAGTGCCTTTTGTTGGCGCTTTGACATCATTTGGCTCACAGGGCACTGCTAATGGGTACCAGTAAAAGGTTATCACCTCTAAGCTGGGTTCCAGATCAAGCTAGTGGTGGATCTTGGAGAAAATCTCAGCTTTTTGCCAGTGTTTCTCCAAAGGGAAGGCAAATGGATCAGCCATACATCTACCTGAAATGGCCACAAAACATGCTAAAAACCCATCGTTTCACGAATCTGCCCAACATCACAACATCACAAGTGATCATGACTTTGTAGCCCACGTTCCTATGACATGCAGATTGACCATGATTGACCCACGTTCCTTCACGGAGACCACCTCTCTCAGGCCCCCCTCCTCATCGCAATCCAATTCGGCTGAGGACCATCGCTGCATTCTCAAGCGGGCGAAGGCCTTATATAGATGAATCCAAGAGCAAAGCAGCTGTCTTTTTTAAAGGGTGGGGGCCGACCTCTTACTTAGCTATATAAGCAGGCGGCGGAGGGGAGCTTCCTGGAAGAAGCCTGAGCTATCCTGCGTCCAGTAGCTAGTAGCGGCCTAATTCATTTGAGTGACGGTCAACACTTTTTGTGGAGTTGCAGGTCACTTGGTGAGTGTATTATCGCTTTTCATGTCCGCCATGTTGTTGTTTCTGGTGAGTGTGTTATCGTTTTTGAGCGAAACATGAATTTTGAAATCCCATGACCACTCACTGACCATTGGTGACGTTCATTAATTTTGAGCCTAGCTCATTTGCTTCCAAGAGCATGAGAGTTTCAACGATGTGCTCTTACACCCTCTTGATACCAATAATGTTCATCAGTAGGAGTGCTGAGCAAAGAGCATTGTTTTTGGCAAATGTTAAAGTAAGCAGTAAGCAGCGTGTCTAGACCACATGTGTCTTCATGAATGTCCCACTGATTACTTAGGCAGCTGCCCGATTGGAGTGCAGGATACCCCGCAAGGTGTCTGGAGCCTCACCAAGCACGAATGCGTCTTTTCAAAAGGAAACGAATTTCCTCCTGGCCCATTTGGCCAATCCATCAGCTTCAATTTTGTCCATGAGGGCCACACGCTGACTTTGCCAGACTCTTCCACCAGCCAAATGGCCTTGGAGAACCACCTGCATCGCTTGGAAAGTGCCATATGATCCACAATGTGGAGAGGAGGGGGAGAGGGAGGGAGGGGGAGGGAGGGAGGGAGGGAGCGAGAGAGAGAGAGAGAGAGAAGAAAGAAAGAAAGAAAGAAAGAAAGTGCAAAATGTGACCACACTTCTGGTGATGGGTGACATAATATTCATACGTCAATATTTTGTTGCCAATACTCTTATCTTCAGCTGTTACATGAATTCGTAGCACAATCATAGTGCAAAAGACATTGCAAATACTGATTGATTGCTGCACATCAAAACAATAGGAATGATGTTTGAGGCAAATATGTCAGCGGGATTCTCTGGGAAGCCACCCTTTCGACCATCTGCGAATGCTTGAAAGAGCAAAACATTGCCTGTCTGAGTGCGATTTCTAAGGACCCACGTCGCATATCAGGCGCGCATGTCTGCGCCTTTCACACTCCTGGATTTTGCCTCGGCACGCAGGTCGCTTGTGCAACGAAATGTCATTAGAAGCGAGAGGGAGGGAGAGTGTGTGTGTGTGTCTGCCAGTGTTGTATGCGTATTGATTCTATCATTCAACCAAAAGGAAAGAACAATGCGCCTTGCACAGTCGACTGCAAGATTCTTCTGCTAACACACTTATGGATATGCGTACTGACTTGATAGCGGTGCCACACGC